CTGGGCGCCCCGGGGCGCAGCCGCTTCGGCCCGGGCACCGGGCCCATCCTGCTGGACGACGTACGCTGCGCCGGCACCGAGGACGCGCTGGAGCGCTGCGCTCACCGCGAATGGGCTCTGCACAACTGCCGGCACCTCGAGGACGCGGGCGTGGTCTGCGCAGGTACCCCACCTCTTGAATCCCCACCCCGCACCTGGTCCCAAGCCTGGGAGTGTCCGGAGGCTCCGCCCCGTGGACCACGCTCTGAGGAATGCCTTTCAGTCTGGAAGCATTTCTAAGATCAAAATTGGGCTCAACCAGAAATACCAGGTTTGGACAAGGCTCCAGACCCTAGGATAAGGAGGGCGTATTTGTGTATTCGTTAGTCATCCAGCCTTGGGCGTTGAATAATCAGTTTTTTCTAATTCCAACTCAGCACACTATTTGTTTTGAGATTTAGCTACAAGATTATGAGGTTAAAGGAAGGCGCGACTGTAATAAAATGATTTAGGACATAGAGCCTGCTGCTGTCAAACTACAGCTTGTCCAGTCCTCTTTGTAATCTCTGGAGAGGCTTCAAGGACAAAATCCAGGCTGGACAATCTTTTTCACCTGACCAAACCCTCAGAAATCAGAAAGACCCCACAATGTTTCAATTCCTTTTTTTTTTTTCTTTTTGAGAGGGTTTTTACTATAGGGCACATGTGCTCGCCAGAAAGAAAGAGACAGAGAGGAAAAAAGGGAGAAATCACCGCCCCCACCAGCATGAGTTTAAGCCACCGGGTCTGGGGCTTGAACCAAGGTTTACTACATGGGAGCCCAGCGACATAGCCATTATACCAACTGCTGGTCCCACAATGTCCCAATTCTAATGTTCCTTTCATCCAAAATTTAGCCTTTACTTTAACTGGAATTTATTTTATTATCACCCAGAATCTGTCTTGGCATTCTGACTTCTGTAGGTTGTCTATCTTCTGTGTTGAGTAGTACTTCCTTACATTTGTTCTAAGTTGACCCATGTAAATCTCAAGGAGTTTTGGAATTCTAAGATTTGGGGAACAAAACTGAGTTCAATTTTGTCTGTTTCATTCTTAGTTTCTTCAGGTAAGTCAAAACAATTGCACCATCGCTTTCACTTTTATCTAGGTGTTACCTTGTTTTTCACAGACAGGGGGCCCAAATAGAATAGAAATACTGCTGGAGTCCCATGAACACAAACATTTATCACACAGAGAGCCGAGTAGTTTGAGTCTGTGCTGGGTCATGGGGTTCTTACCTTCCAGATCCTCATTTAATTGTGTCTGTTCCTAGTTCTGGCCATCTCTAGTATTATCAGGGTACCACCTCTAAATGACAGTCCATTTCCATCCTCGGATTATATGCCAAAGGGTTTCCTTTTCACTGAGCACAGTGTCCAAAAGACCAGTGGTCTGGAGTCTGGGGCATCTGAAGGGGTTGAGCGACTGTGGCTGATTATACTGAATGGGCTGGGCCTTGCTTCTGAGTTGAAGAAATCTTTAACAGCTGCAAACTCATCTTTCCCAGCCTGACGTTCCAAGCATATGGGGAGCGACATAGCCAGAATTCATATAAGGGGTCTTCAAAAAGCTCATGGGAAATATGTATTATGAAATAACTGTTGCATAGATTTCAACTTTTTGCATCAAAATAAACTCATACTTTAATTCCATTTTTCTTTTTAATCTGCTAAAGAGACCACATGAGAAAGCATCTTCCATATGATGGCCACACTATAATCCCTTCTCCACTTCTTTATTTTTTAAAATCTATTTGTTCTGATTTTTTTATAAGCCACTGGGTCTGGGACTCCAACCACAGTCAATGAGAATCCAGCACCTTAACCACTACTCCACCTGCTGGCCCCTCTTCTTTTGGGATTTTGGGCACACATGCCGGTTGTATTTTTTTAAGCCTTAACCACCATGCCACTGACTGGTTCTAATTTTCCGCAAACTTTTTGAAGTCCCCTTGTATATGTGGTGTGTTTATATCCTCCAAGTCCTGTATTTACTACTCTCTTACTCCAGCAAATCTTGGTGTTGATGATATCTGTATTCTAAACATTACTTCACACATAGCAGAATCCTGCTCCATTGGGCCCTGAGCCCAGTTTTCCTTGGTTTCCTTTCCATGTTCTGGAATATTTTCATGCCATTGTACTCCAGTTTTCATAGCTAAATCAAACAGCCCATTTATCTACACTGCATGTCTACTGCAGGCTGCATCATGCTCCTCCAGTGTTCCAGCGTTCCTGACATTTGTTTTTTATCTTTCTTTTCTTACCAGGTCCAGCTGACTCTGTCGTACCCACAGACAATGGTAAACTCTTCACCACTCTTAGAGTCTGAATATGAGGCTGCTGAAAGGGGAAGCTTAGAGAGCCATCAAATGGAGAAGAGAGAACAGGCATGAGGTGGGGGGCAGCTTCTATGTTTCCACTAGCTGGGCTTCAGGAGGTTGAGGAAGAAATCTCTTTGTACCCAGGTCCCCTGTCCCTTTGCTTCCACTCTGGTTTACCAACTTACAGAGGCCCCAGTAAGCACATGTTCAGGCTCAGGAGTTCTCAACGTGGGCTGCAGGTAGGATTCCCCATGAATGTGGTATGACTGCGAAGCCTTTTTGGAAAATTGTGGATATAAAGTCCATGAAAGTCAAGTCAGGGGTAGAGGTAAGGAACTGAGCCAACCCCAGCCCAGGGCTTTGTCCTTTGCTCTTATAAAGTAGACATACACCCACATCTCTGAGTTGTATATCCAGCATACTAGGTTCTCTTGGTGAGGATCTATCCTCCCTCTCCTGCAGCCCAGCTCTCCTGCTTGCCTCACCTCTTCCAAGCCGTCATTGACCGAGGCTATCTCCGGAGGCTGGGATACTCCTCCTGGGACGTCCATTTAAATGACAAGCTGTGCCGTCCCCGAGTCACAGGGCAGTACCTGATCTTCAGCATTCCCTATGGACGCTGTGGCACTTTCCAGCGGGTAAGAAACTGACAAGGTGGTGGTACCCTCCTGTGCATGGTGGCCAGGGAGATGGGTTTGGAAAATTCAATCACCTATTAAATAACTGCGTAGGGACAGAGGAGAGTCATAAGCCATGACTTCATTTCTGAATTTGGTGATACCTCAAATAGCTCACTCATTTATCTGAAACTTTTCTTCCTTTTGAGAATTTGGGATACACAATAAGAAGTGTTGCGTACTGATGGACTGATGATATGTAGGTGGATAGTTGGATGGACTGATAATATTTTCTTAGCTAGGAAAGCAAAGCAGTTTTCTCAACATACTTCATACACGTGGACACACACACGCACACATACATGCACACTCACACATATAATGCTAGAAGGCTCATGCACATAAATGAGTGTGAGAGGAAAAGAGAGGAAGTACTCCTTGCCCAACAGGGTCTGGTCATACAATAATCCCTTTTCCTGCAATTCTCCAACCTGTCAGGACCCTGGATATGCATGTGTGATCTTAAATTGCTGGGGCCGGCTGGGACTTGAACCCGTGACCATGCAGCTTCCCCTGTGCAGCACCCAACCACTGTGCTATCGGGCCAGCCCCACATTCTTTTTGATCTAGAAAACAAATGTGTAGAACATTTATGAATATTATATATATACACATATATGTGTGTGTGTGTGTGTGTGTGTATATAATCTTAACCACCTACTTATTTCATAAAGCAGTATACAAAAAAATATAGGAAAAATATGTACCATGACATCTTTTTTCTCAGTATATTTCCCAGTGTAATATATTGCAAAGCACATATTCTTCCCCATCTTCTTCCTCTTTTCTTTCACTGCCCTGTTTAGACACACATACACGGAAGAATACTTTGACATTGTTGGAGGTTGAATTAATTCACATTTGGCCTTTTATTTGGTTATGTAGACAGTAGTCATTCTTACTCTCTTTGATCTGAAAATTCAGTTTGAAATTTTTTTGTATCTAAGAGATTTCTGCCCCTGCAGGCATGCTGGATGCTCCCTGTGTCTGGGAGGAGAGTAGTCCCTAAAAGGCCATTGGAAAAGACCCTGTAAATGTCCTCTCTGTCCTGGTTGGCCCAGCTCCCCTTGAAAGCCTTCCATGGGCTGACCACAATGCTGAAGCCAGAGGACATAGCAGGGTCAGGAACCATGTGGGGTGACAGCCAGTCCCAGACCACCCATGAGGAAAACATTGCCACAAAACGATCCTCCATCTGATTAGTCTGTGAATGAGCTTCCCTCTAGGTACTGAGGGTGCCAAAGCCACAACACTGACAAGGTCATCTCCAAGGATCTTACATTCAGGAAAAGAGAGAAGGCATTGAACCAACACAAAGGGGAGTCCTTTTTGTAGTCAAAGGGTTAAAAGGTAATGAAACAAGGAAGGAGGTGGAAAAGGACTTGGAGTGAACAGGAAACCACTTTGAATAGGGTTGGTGGATAAAGAGAGGATTGCCTAGACAGTAAGATGAAGTAGTCAGGGAAACAGTAGTGCTCCATGCAGGGATTGGCAGCGAGCTTGGGGGCGTTGAGGAAGAGACTCGGGGCTGGGAAGCCCAGGTTCAGAAGTGGGTGGGACCAGCAGTTAGCGTAATGGCTATGTTGCTGGACTCCCATGTAGTCAACTGAGGTTCAAGTCCTGGACCTGGTGTTTTAAACTAATGCCAGGCGCATGTGCATGTGTGCCCAAGATCCCAAGAGGAGAAAGGAGGAGAAAGGATTGTGGTGTGGTCATCCTCCCTGGGGGGTGATTTCTCGTTTTCTGTCTCTCTGTCTCTCTCTGTCTTTCTGGAGAGCGCACGCACCCTATAGAAAAAAAAAAAAAAAAAGCTCTCCAAAAAAAAAAGAAAGTGGAGTAGAACCAGGTGACTGAGAAGTCCACTTTTTGTTCTAAGCTGTGCCTTTTCAAGGACAGCAGTATCACCCTCAAGAGGGAGATAGCTATTGGTTCTTAGAGGGAAAAAAAAATCAAAATAATTAAAAATGTTATGGATAAAGCACAGATATGCCTGTAGAACATAAGCAGTGTATCTGTTGTATTAAAATTTTATAAAATGTCATAGAAGCAGGGGAAAGGACAGGATGGGTGATAAAGAAAATGTCTCTAAAGGCTCCTAGGAGAGCAATAATTGGGAAAAAAGATTGAGAGACACTAGTCTAGAGAAGTCCCTGGGGAGTTCTAAGGCAGAATGCTGCAGGACATGACTCACACAAGCTGGGGCTCCTTGAACAAACGTCCCTAGACAGGCCTATCCTCTGGGCATCTACCCAGGGGTATGGGAAGGAGACAGTGAGAAGCAGTGCCCGTCAGCCCTCAGCACCCCTACAGGCCCTGCAAGTCACGTTGGAGTGAAAGCCAGCGGGGCCTGGCCCACAGCTCACCTGTAACCAGACTGGTCTAGAGTCAAGGGAAGCAAAGAGACTAAAGAGAGGATGAAAGTCCCAGTGGAAGATGGCCTATGAGTGCCTGAAGGAATAGAATGTGTGGACGAATCTGACAGGAAGGGAGCTACATGTAGCCAGCATGGATATAGCACCCAGCTCATAGCACCACCGCTTGGAAATCACAGGAGGGTAGAGAGTTCATACTCACCCTCTGGGGCTGCATGCACCTGCAATCATGCCACCCCCCCCCCCATGCAGTTAAGTACCACAGAGGCCTGATCAGGGTGTTCCTGCCCTCCAGCACTTCAGCAAGCTGGCACCAAGTGGGGTAGAAAAGAGAGGTCTCTGCTCATGAAGGCAGGCCCAGAATGCTGGCCACCAACTTTACTCTCGTCCTCACAGGAACACCTGGGCTCCCTCAGCTACTCCAACTCCATCAGAGGACGAATCCGGGGCCATCCTGGTCGCGTCATTGTACGGCATAAGGTGCCCCAGCTGAAGTTCACTTGCAGGGTGAATGGTCCATCCTCAGTTGAAGTCGTTCATGGGGCCAACATCCCGAAGGCGGGTGCCAGTTATGATGTGTCTGTATCATTCCTCCTGTCTCCTGAGTCCGAGGATGAGGGGGGCATGGCGCCATACTATGCCAGCCAGAAGAAAGAGGTCTTCCTCCAGGCCACCCTCCACAGTCCTGATCCCAACCTCAGGCTCTTTGTGGACACCTGTGTGGCTTCTCCAGATCCCCATGATTTTACTACTGTCAAGTACGAATTGATCCAGCAGGGGTAAGGAAAATGGAAGACCCTCTTAGGGTGCCTGTTACACTCATACACCATTCCTTTAGGGATTCTGTGGCTTCTGAACTGATAATCCTCAGTTAGAATATTGTGCAAAAGAGTTCTCCTGGGGCCCCAGAGGCAGAGTAGGAGCCCTCTTCATCACTCTGATTCCCCTGGGGAAAAAATAGTTATTGGCAGCAAAGCGAGCCCTCCTTGAATCCCCGAAGAGTCTAGCAGAGCCCTTGCTGCCCTCCATCCCACGCCTTGCCCTCCTAGTCCATCATGCCACCACCTCTCTTCTCTACACCTCTCTTCTCTTTTCTCTTCTCTTCTCTTCTCTTCTCTTCTCTTCTCTTCTCTTCTCTTCTCTTCTTCTCTTCTCTTCTCTTTTCTCTTCTCTTGTAGTTTTATGACTATATTAGACTCCCCATTCACGATCCTGGCCCTCGGGCAATTGGCCTACACTGAGGAGCTGGTGATTTGTCCCAAGCCAAGCTCTTAGTTATGGCTATGAGATTTATTCTGGCTGCTTTGGCTTACCAAATGACTTGCCAAGTTAAAACTCTGGCAAGTTGTTTGCCTTCAGACCCCTTTTGTCCTGTAACGAGGGCAAAATGCTATGGCTGGGCAATTGGCAACCTCTTCAAAAACACCAAAAACCCATTGCTTACTTAGTGGCAGTTTTAGAGAGGGGAGACCCACAGCAGTGGAAAGCCCATGAGAGGAACTACAATTCCTGTTTCCAAAAGATGGTGCGAGCCTGGGCGCAAGAGGTGCCCAGAAGTGGCACAGAACTGCACTGAGTCACAGAGTGGGGCAGCTCTTTCCTTTCTACCCCCCTTTAAATGTATCAGGGCAAGAAGTTTAGTTTGGTGCCATAATTTAACAAGCAACAGGGCTGGCAGGTGGCATGGTGGCTAAAGTCGCTAGACTCCCACATGACTGACTAAGGGTAGAGTCCCGGACCTGGCGGCTTGCTTTCTCATTTTCTCTCTCTCTCTTTCACTCTGTCTCACTCTGGTCAAATTAAAAAATAATAATGATAAATTAAATAAAAGAAATAATTCTTTAAAAAACAAAAATAATTCAATAAGCAATATGTTCTTTCACTTGCTTTAGGGTTAATTTACTCTTCTTTCTCTTGTTTTCAAAACGAAAGTTGATTGATTTTAGATTTATCCATTTCTAATAAATGCATTTAATGCTATAAATTTCCCTGTAAGCACTATTTAGCTGCACCCCACAAATTTTGCTAAACCATGTATACATTCATTTTTTTACTTAGTTCAAAATATTTTTTAAATTCCTCTAGAGGCTTCTTTGATCCACCAGTTACTTAGAAGGGTGTTTTTTAATTTCCAAATATTTGGGAATTTTTCAGTAATGTTTCTGTCATTAATTTATAGTTTAACTCCATTTGTGATTAAAAAGTATATCTTATGTGATTTATATTATTAAATAATCTAACCACGTTTAGTCTCCTTATGACAAAATAAAGTAGCCTTCTGAAAACAAGAGGTCTAGCTAGAATTTAATTACTTTTCTGTTTTTATTGAGTAAATCTTCCAGGTTCCTTCTATTTCTTGCCAAGAAGAGTGGTTTTCCACCTGTGTTAGCATTGTGAAGTTTCTTGAGAAAGAAAAGGAGTTGGTAGTATGAAGAATTCCATTTGGAATTCAGAAATCTGGGTCCAAGTTTGATTATTTGAGTCAGAGTGAATCCACACCATGCTTTAAGTTAATCTTTTTGGTCTGGGGTTTTTCTTCCCACCAGGTGCATTAAAGACAAGACCTATGTCAATCTCCACTCCAGCCAAAAGAATGTGGCCCAGTTCAAGTTCAACGCCTTCAGCTTTCTTGACAGCTACGACGTGGTCTATCTGCAGTGTAAGGTTGCCGTGTGCAAAGTGGGGGACTCCTCTTCTCGCTGCTCCCAGGGCTGTGCAGGGCGGAACAGAAGAGATGTGAGCCCCATGGACACCAAGGAAGAGCAGACTGAGCATTTCCAAATGGTGGGGCCACTGGCTATCCACAAAGTGACTGGTCAGAGCATGACTCTTCCATGATTTCTCCAGTTTTCACATAAATCTATTAGGAATTAGGAAGCAGAGTCTATTTTTCTTCAGTAAAGTAGTGTCTGACAATTCAGAAGTTACCTGTGTAGAGATGGTAAAAGAAACTGCTAGAGGGCATTGCTTCTCTCGGGTTTGTTACTAAATAAATCTCTCATTACTGAACTTATAAGGCAGTTGCTCTCTTTGGTGGCTAGAAATGCTGTGCTTTCTAAGTCTTCACTATCAGGAACTCGATTGTTACTTTAAAATGTACAAAATGTTTAAAAGAGCAGGGTTATTTCCCTGTATTCCAATTGAAGAATTCTTATTTAAAATTTGATTCTTTAATGTTCATTCAGATGCTAGTAGGGAGAGCTCTGATTCTTTCTGGTAGTGCAAGAATTTATTTTGAAATCTTGCCAAGAGTCTTATAAAAAATAAACCGTCAGGAAGCCACTGCCCCCACCCCCGCTTTTTTTAACTCTAATAAACTGGTCGGTTGAGTCAAATATGTTGTTTACTCATCAGAACTAGCTTTGTTTTGTTTCAATGGGAATAAATTGGATCCAGCTAATTGGGTTTGGGCTATGGCTTGCAAATGAGAGAGACGGAAACACAGTCCAAGAACCACCTGTGGTGTTTGCTCTTTGAGCTGCCAGGTGCCCAGGTGGTCATGTTCTCAGCCATTTCTCAGATCCTCAGAGCACTCAGGGAAATCTGAAAAGTACACAGAAAACCTGAACCGCAAACAAGGAAAGATTAGCATAGTCCAGCATTCTCTTAGGAGGGCCGCACCCACTTCAATCTTCCTTTCCACTTTAACAGAAAGAGGCCTGCCCTAGCCTCACTACCCTAACAGGTGTCTTTAAAGGAATGGACTTGAACATAGGGGTTTTTGTCTTTTTTTTTGGTCAAGAAATATTCACTAGCATTATTTAAAATATGAGTCCCTGTCTTTAAGAAATTCTTTGGTCTTCATCAGTAAATAGCAACTACAAGATGAAATTACTGTCAAGTCCCCAAAAGAGGAGAGCATTATTTGGTGAGTCTGGGAGATCACCCGGAGGTCTTGAGAGGTAAAAAAAATCTAACAAATGACCCAGAGTGGCCTTGCCTTTAAGAGTATCTGCTTTACTGAAAACATGGCAATTCCATGTTGTAAAAGCTCAACAATATGCCAACTTCACAGACTGTTGTCTTGGTAAAAATACAATGTTGATATTTATTTTGATGAAAGTGCCCTGCTTACTCATAGAAGTTGAGGAAATGTGATTACTGGGAGTTTGGTAAAGACATCTTTAATTAGAGTTAATTATTTGTCACTGAGTAGCTTCAGCTTCTGTCACATGAAGCAATGATTTTTAGCATCAGGTGTCTATTTCATGTAAATACCTTAAATGAATAAAGGGGTGTTTTCAAATGATTGTGAGCTCCAGGGGTGTCTCAGTTCAAAATTCTGCCTGTCCATTAACTGTACCTATCTATAGAATGAGGAGGAGGCCAACAGTGACCCAAACCTAGCGTTTCATAGCTTTTAACACATCCTTAATGCAGAAGGTGTTGACAATGGAAAAAAAAAATAGCAAATAGATAAATATCTAAATGAACTTCCAGATCAGTTCTTTTTAATATGTTTTAGGGGACCAATCCAGAAAGTGGTACTCTCCAAAAGCAATCTAGATGATTCTTGGGCACAGTGATGTTTGAAAGTCATGCCTACTGTTCAGTGTTCCACGCCTCATGGTCAAAACACGTACCAGGGAGAAGCCTGCCATCAGAAAGCATCGAGGGTGCAGACAAAAAAGACCCAAGAAAAGCCTGTTCTCTTTACTCAAAGGACCAGCAAAGGGCCAACCTAGCAAGACAGAAAATTTCTGGACTGGGACCACAGATGGCATAATGGTTGCATCACTGGACTCCCATGTAATCGACTGTGGTTCAAGTCCTGGACCCAGCAGCTTGAAACACATGGGGCATTTGTGCATGCATGCTCAAGATCCTGAGAGGAGACTGGAGAAGGGATTGCAGCATGACCATCCCCCGGGGGGCAATTTCTCACTTTCTGTTTCTCTGTCTCTCTGCATCTCTCTTTGTCTCCCTGGTGAGCACATGCTCCCTTATAGCAAAAATCTCTAAAAAAAAAAAAAAAAGGAAGAAAAAGAAAACTGTCCTACACCAGGCAAACACCCACAGGAAACACTGGGGCTCCACATGCACCGCTGCCAGCAAACACTGAGTGGAGAGCCAGGACTCTATCCTTCACCCAGTACCGCTTCCCTCTTTTCTGACCTCAACAGAGTAGTACCCAAAAAGGCAAAATGGAAACTGGGAAGTTCATCACCTCTGGGCATTAGTAAGGCCCTCACGTGCACACCCCACATCAGGCACAGATCAGGTAGCGAGCCGGGACTTGCACTTTCCATCCTACTTGGAAGGAATGGGGTACCCCTTTAATTCTGCACTAGTCAGAGGAGGCCCAGGGCAGTGCCAGGACTTTCACCCCTGCCCAGCAGTAACAAAGTGACTCTACCACCTCAGATAAGCAGACCATGTGGGTAGCCTGGGTTCCACCCCACTTTGCCCCTCTGGTTTGTACATGCCTTGCATGATATTGTCCAGTCCATTTTTTAATTAAAATTATTTCATTTTCTTCATTATTATTATTATTATTTTAATTTTTGCTACAGGGCACATGTGTTTGAGAGAGAGAGAGAAAGCAAGCAACCAGGTCCAAGACTTGAACTCCAGTTGACCATGTGGGAGTCCCGCACTTTAAGTACAATGCCACCCGCTGGAACTTCATTCCTTCATTTTTGGCCTCTTTGAAACACTTGTTATATGTGTCTCTTGAATACAGCATAAATTAGATTTTGCTTTGTGTAAGAAAAAGAAAATATATCTATATCTTGCTCTTTCAGGAATTGAGTATAGTTACTGCTCTGGGCAAATATTCGGATGCTGCCCCAAATGGAGTCACTCAGTCTCCAGGCTGTAGGGCATGTTTATTGTTCTCCTCACCTCTCACAGAAGTCAACCCTGAGCACACACCCAAGGACTTCCTGTATGCAAACCTCTGTTTCAGAGTGGAGGTGGCAATGAGAACTCATCACTGGTGGTAAGTGGAACCTTGAGTGGTCCCTGACTGCTAATGTCTTCTCTTGTCTAATAATCTCACTTCTAGAGGGGGATGGTAGCTGAAGGTATAACCTGGACAACATTACACACCAGACTAGACCCGGGCCACCTACTCAAGATCCAAGACCTTTCATTACTTCTATCTAGTTCTTTCTTTCCTTTTTTTTAGAATTATTTATTTTAACTTTATTTATTTATTTATTTTGATTTGACTAGAGAGAGACAGAGTGAGAGAGAGAGAGGAAAAGTGAGAAAGCAAGCCACCAGGTCTGGGACTCGAACTGCAGTCAACCATGTGGAAGTCCAGTGCCCTTAACCACCATGCCACCTGCCAGCCTTATCACTCTAGTTCTTTCAAAATAAAATTTTTTTTTAGAGACTAGCAGATGGTGAAATGGTTATGTGGCTGAACTCCCATGTAGTCAACCACAGTTCAATTCCCAGACACAGCGGCTGAAAACTCACACCAGGCATGTGTGCGTGTGTGCCCAAAATCCTGAGAAGAGAATGGCAGAGAAGGGACTGCAGTATGGTCATCCCCCCTGGGGGGTGATTTCTCACTTTCTGTCTGTCTCTCTCTGTCTCTCTGGTGAGCACATGCGCCCTGTAACAAAAATCTCTAAAAAAAAAAAAAAAAAAAAAAAAACAGAAAAAAGAAAAAATATTTTGAAAACTTAAGTAGAGATATTGCATATCTCAATAATTATACATATATCAATATCTCCACTGCAATGGATTTTTGCTCGTAATATAATCCTATACTCTCTAGTGAGTCACAATATTCAATAATATTTTTAGTATTACACTTTTATGCCTGATGTGTCTCTGAATACCTTCCATGTTGGCCCGAAATAATAACCAGTTTCTGATGGAGAGATGGCTCAGGAGCACCAACCAGACCAGGCAGCCAGGCTGTCTCTACGTACTTAATGTGATTTGTTCATTGTAACTAAATTTTCTGGTGTTTTCAAGTTAAAAAAGAATTTGGCAATGGTTCAATTTAGTTCATATGGAAGACCTATATGAGAATATTAAAAAAGAAAAAGGGTAAAATTTGTTTTAATTTGGGGCTGGAAAAATCAGTTAGGCTCCAAAGGACTTATTTTGTGAAGGTAGAGATTCTATCATATCCATTGTGTGTCCCCTCTAACATCCTGTATATGCAATGCATGTTTATAGCAGTAAATTAAAAAAATGCCTTGGGCTGACTCCATGGGTTGGTGGTTAAGGAAGCCAGAGTCCACATGACCGACAGCACAGCTCGAAACTCAGCCCTGGCAGCTTGAAAATTGGTGGGTGCTTGTGTGTGTGCATGCCCCAAATCCCAACAGGGTAGGAAAACGGAGGAGAAGGAGGTACAGTGTGAATGTGCCCCACAGTAGGAGGTGCTTCCTCCCTCTCCCTCTGTCTCTCTGTCTCTCACTAGTGAATGCATGAGCCCTCTAGTAACTTAAACATGAAAAGAGAATTCTTTGGGCTTTAAGAAGGGTTGCTACCTTTCTAAGTACATATTAAAAGCTAAACTTCTGTGTGTCATTAGAAGAGGAGGTAGAGTTGTATTGTTCATCTGCAGTAATTAGATTTGATGTTTTGCACATGTAAAATCAGTTGACCTTTGGCTTTGCTGTTTGATGGTAAATGGGAGGAAAAATGTTATCTCATTAGCCCAAAAGTCTCTCTTTCATAGTCAGATTGTTTTTTTTTTCCTCCAAAATCCTTTTCTGTGATGCTTAAGGTGAGAAATGCAGAGTCTGCATTAAAGCAGTAAAGCGTATGAAGTAAGAAGATTGCCATTCTCTCGGGAAGGCCCCATAACATCATTTAAGCTCTATGTAGAGATCAAATCCCAAATAGCTGGTGCAGTTCAAAATGCAACCCTGGTGGCAATGCACTGGGCACATGGCTATATGTCCAGGATCCTGATCAGATAAGAATCAAAGGAAAGAAGATAGTGGCAGGACCAGCCCCACTAGGGGGTGATTTCTCTCTTCTCCTCTCTCCCCCACTCCCCTTCATGTGCATGCACTCTATATGCATAAACGTAAATAATTTTTTTAAAAAATTGCAGAAGCCAGCCAGTGATGCAGTGGTAATACAGTGCTCTGCAAGGCTGACCCACATGCGAAGATTTCTGGCCCACGTCCAAAGACATCCCTGAATACACCAGGCAAGCATGTGCCCATCGTAATTCAGGGCTAGCTAAGGCCGTGGGTGGATCGCAGAGCTGAGAACATATAGAGGATGCTCTATCCGTGTCTCCTTCTCTCTGTCTCTCTTACTCATGGGATGAATGAATAAAACTTAAATAGAACAAAATAGGATTGCAATTCTTTCTCACATATTTTAGTTTCAGAAATTATAACTTCAATGTTTCAAAAAGTAGCACATGACACCTAAAAAATGAAAGCACCCAACTCTAAAGACAACTTTAGTGACCTTTTTCTTTTTTTTCTTTTGAGATACTTTTGCTATAGGATGTGTGCACTCGCCAGAGAGACAGAAAGCAAGAAATCACCCCCGGGGGGAATGGCCATGCCACAATCCCTTCTCCTTCAGTCTCCTCTTGGGATTTTGGGCATACACACACACTCCCAGTGTGAGTTTTAAAGCTACCAGGTCCAGGACTTGAACTGCTGTCAACTATGTGGTAATCTAGCAACATAACTATTAACTATTATCTGCTGGTCCCAAAAATGACCTTTCTTTTCTTTTCCACCTCACATTTGGTTAAAATGCTTTACGTTTATGAAAAGAGTTATTTGTAGTTCATGTAATATTTTGGTGCCTTTACTTTCTAAACTAAGAGCTAACTGACATCATTATTTACCATTTTGGTCATCCTATAATGAAACACACAGACACAGTGACATGAAGGCCCATGTGTCACTTTTTTAGGCCTTTCCTAATTTATTCATATGTATGGCCATGAGGCACTATTTCCTTTGACAGCCAAGAGGGCTAAACCTGTTACTTAATAGTCCTGCAGCTTCTGGTATTTGTAGTCTGATCGTTGATTCACAAAATGCCTTGCTACGATTGTGGCCACAATCACTACATTCATAGCAAGGACCATGACTGAAAAGAGATGCAGACTGCTGAAGGGCTGCTTCTGAGTTTCTTCCATACGCGATGGATGCTCAATTGCTATAATTGGAAACAAGATGAAAATTAGTTTTAAAAAGTATTAGCATAAAAATACAAGTTGTGCAGAATGTTAGTTCTTTTTGCTTTTTTCACTTAGGAGTTAAAATACATTGCTTCAGATTTAGTTATCTGTCATAACACCCACAATAAGGAGTCAGGAAGCTAAAGGGAACTTGTTTCTAAAAAGAGGACATTACACTTATACTCAAAAGCCACGTGGAGAATGGTGAGTTATCAGTGAATCATATGTTTCACTGCCATGGCATCATATTATCAACTGATAGAAATAAATATTAATCCTGCGTGCTTAAAACTCATATGTGTTAAAACTTTTATTATAAGGCAAGCAGGTGGTATGGTGATTAAGGCGCTGGATTCCATTTGACTGACTGCACAGTTTGGATCCCAGACCATGTGGCTTGAGAAATACTCTGGGTGTGTGTGCTTGTGTGCCCAAAATCCTGAGAGGAGAGTGAAGGAGAAGGGATTGCAGCATGATCAAACCCTGGGGGTGATTTCTCACTTTGTTTCTCTCTCTCTTTCTCTCTCCTCCCCCCAGTGAATGCACACACTTTATAGCAAAAACCTGGTGGGGGGGGGACTTTTATTATAAAGCTCTACACTTACATGCTTAAGAACAATTAGATTTGATCAGCATCTAATAAACCATGAGGGGTTAAGTCATAAAAGACCTTTTGTTCTTACCTGAATTTCCACTTGCACTTCGATCCTTGTTCAGACGAATGGGTCCTATCACGGAATCAGACTTCCACTTGTATGAAGAGATGTCTCGTTTCTTTCTAGAGGTGCAGCCTTGATTGCAACGAGACTGATGATCGTTACTGTCACATACCAGAACCCTACACTTCAGATACACAGAGCTCAGATGTCTCAAGAATTTAAAGGCATTAAACTGAAATCTTCCATAGTGTCCAGACAAGGGATACAGCTTACAAGTCTCATCTTTGCTACATCTGCAAGAGAATTTACGAACATAATGATAAGGTGCACAGAAGTTCAGACCTATCGACACCAAAAAGAGACAATACAAAGGGTTTTTTTCTGAATTTTCTAGTTTGTGAATCCAAAAATTTCTCTAGAAAGACCATGTCTTTCATTCAGACTGCAGTGAGCTGAGACTATAATCCCTGAGTAAGATAACAAGGTTCTTTTTTAAGCTCTAAAACTACTGGTCCATGTGAATTAATCAGAAAATCAATGCCTATGTGCTGGAACTCAAACACATTTTCTTACATGTGTGTTACTAATGTCTAAGGAGACACCAAAAAGTTCATAGAAAAATGGAATTAAAGTATGAATTTGCCTTGATGCAAATAATTCTGAAATCTATGCATAGTTTTTTTTATAACATGCATCTTCCATTAACTTTTTGAAGATCCCTAATATAGGTCTTCTAGCCCAGTGGTTAAGGGAGCAAGAGCTCATGTAGTCCACGATGGTTCAAATTCTGGCTCTGGGAACTTGAAAAACATGCCAGGTGCATGTGTGTGCATACCTCAAATTCCGGCAGGATCAAGAAATGGAGAAGGGATTGTAGCATGACCAGCCCCCACTGGGGGGTATTGTCTTCCTCTCCATCTCTTTCTTTCTCTGTCTTTCTTTGGTGAGTGCATGCGCCCTCTAGCAATTAAAAAAATTAATTAAATACATTCTAAACTTGGTAAAAATTTTTAAAAGCCCTAGTATAAATATGGCTGATTTAGTTTAGTGATCCATCAGCTGCTAATGGGAAAGCAAGAAAAAGAAAAAACCCTTTAGGGCCCAGCAGGAGGCATGGTGGTTAGGGTGGCTGGACTCCCACATGGCTAATCCTGGTTCAAGTTCCAGCTCTGACAATTAATTAAATACATTCTAAACTTGGTAAAAATTTTTAAAAGCCCTAGTATAAATATGGCTGATTTAGTTTAGTGATCCATCAGCTGCTAATGGGAAAGCAAGAAAAAGAAAAAACCCTTTAGGGCCCAGCAGGAGGCATGGTGGTTAGGGTGGCTGGACTCCCACATGGCTAATCCTGGTTCAAGTTCCAGCTCTGACAGCTTACTTTCTCACTTTCTTTCTTTCTCTGTCTGTCTCTGGTCAACTTTAAAAATATAAATTAAATTAAATTAAATTAATGACAATAAAATTAAATTAAAAAGAGAAATTTTCTATTTTTTAAGAATGTTACATATACTTCACTAGTGACATTATGTCTACAGATGGCATACATGAAATTATCTAGGTTTTTGGTGAAAATAACCAAAGTGTTGGGGCCAGCAGGTGGCATGATGGTTAAGGCACTGGACTCCCACATGGCCGACTGCAATCTGAATCCTGGATTCAGCAGCTTGAAACTTGCACCAGATGTGTGTACATGTGTGCTCAAAATCCTGAGAGAAGACTGGGAAGAGAAGGTATTGCAGCATGACCATCCTCCCTAGGGAGTGATTTCTCTCTTTCTTTCTGTCTCTGTCTCTCTGGTGAGAGTATGCACCCTATACGGAAAAATAAAAAAGAACCAAAGTCAAACATAAATAAATAATACAGACTTCTTGAGAAAAATAAATTTGTTTACACTTAAATATATACGCTTAAAAGTCTAGAGAATATAAGCTGAGTTTGTATAAATGTTTTAACAAATTATTTATAACTAGTTACATGGAAATTACATTAAATAAATGCTTTAAATAAATTTAATAAATTTCCATAGTAGTACTAGAAAATTTACACACATGGACACTCACTGAAATATTCATTTATCATCAATCCTCCTCAGAAAGAAATATTATACGTCAGTACGTACCCACTCTTGATTAAGTCATAGGTTGGCGATGCAAAGTCAGATGTGGATGAAGCTATACAAGTATCAAGAAACACCACCAAATTTGGATCAGAGGTGTGCAGACTGACTTGAACAAAAAGAATTTGGTTCAAATCCACATAATATGGAGACTCAAGTATAGGCTTTTCAAATGAACTGGATTCAAAAAGAGCCATGCTCGTGTTGTATTTGCCCAGTGCACTTTGATTCTGTATTACGTCATCCTCTGTGATGTACATTATCTCCACTGTAGAATTATATTCCATTTCACACTTCACAATAATCTGGAGATGTTTCTGTCGTGTGATCACTTCAGAAGTTTGGGACTCAGTAAAAGTGATTATATTGGTGTAAGTAATTAAATAATCTTCTACCTGCAGAATGAGATGAAATTCAAATTTTATATCTTAGGTCCAGTAATATTTTAGAGCACAGATGTGAATAATATTTGAGGTAGAGATGTAAATTTCTCTTTTTAAATATGTAGTTTTTTTTTTTTAATTCCATGAACTCACTTGAGAGAGACAGAGAAACAGAGTGAGAGAAAATACACCCCCCCACACACACACGATGGGACACGGTCATGCTGCAATGCCTTCTTTTATTTCCTCATCCTATCAAGATTTTTTGGACGTGCACGTGTGCACACATGCTCAGCATGTTATTCAAGCAATCGAGGCTAAGATTTGAATTGTCATCAGACGTGGGATCTGACTTCTTTAACCAGTAGGCTATAAGGCTGCCTTCTTTTTTTTTTTATTTTAAGTTTCTTTCTTTTATGAAAGTGAGAGACAGAGATAAATAGAGGTAAGCAACTTCAACCAAATCTCGCGATGATTCCCCTCTTCACCACTCCAGCCTTCCTGACAGCCAGAATCACGAGCATGCGTGCCTGGCATATACAAACTGACCAGGGAACCAAACCCGTGATCTTCTGTGTGGATCTGATATCACCGAGCAGCATGGTACTGCTGTGCCACCAACCTAGCCCCATTATTTTAAGTCACAAAATAACAGCTTTCATACCAAAATGCTATAAACCTTAAGTGTGTTTCATTGAAGAAACATGGTGGAAAACGAAGAAATTATGAGATGAGACACAGGTTATATTACAATAGAAGGACTTGAAGATAGAATTAGAGTTTTTTCCCAGTTGATGAAAATTAGTTTTGCATGCAACCTATAATAAATAAAGATTTTACTTATTTAGTAATTTTTGCTATAGGACTTGTATACTCACTGAAGAGAGACAGAGAAAAACAAAGGGGAAAGTGAGACTCGCCCCCCTCTGGAGAGAGAATTGCCATGCTGCAATCCCTTCTCCTCCATCCTCTTCTTGGGATTCTGAGCACACACACACACACACACACACACACACACACACACAACACCCAGCCTGTTTTCATGCTGCTGGGTCTGGGACTCTAACTATACAGTAGTGTGGTAGTTTCTAAAATGTGCACAGATGGTGAACCTGCAATAGGTGTTCCCCTACCTGCCCTCCCTCAGGGTTCACAGTATAATGGAGACTCTGTGTTCCTCCTTAGCAAAAACTGATTTACTTCTGTCTGTATCAATTCCTCTGGATTCACCTCCATTCTTTTCAATTAGGCTATTATTTAACATCCTAAGGGCAAAGTTGTAATATGTAACCTAGGAATCCACAGGATTAAAATATTTAAGACCTTGAATGAGACTTATAAACATGTAGGAGAAATGAGAAACTTAAAGTGTCCTTCATGTTTAAAAAAAGGGTAATATTTACCTCCTGTCTTCACGAAGGAAAGAAGAAAATTATAAAATCCAACAAGGGCCCAGCCACAGGGCACAAGTGGTAGGGTGACACTATGTGAGCCTGGAGCCATATGGGAGGCCTAGGTGTGTATAAACCAGACCAACCAGAATAGGTTTATAATCCTAGCTGTGAGACTGGAACAGAAGATTGCAACAGTGAGACTCTGCCAAAAATACCTATTTTTCTTTCTCCTTATTTTTCTCATTAAGGAAAAAAAAAACAATAATAATAATCCAGGCATGATAGTAGTACAATAGTAAACTGAATTCACATGAGAAGGTTCTGGGTTTGTGTCCAGAGAGCTCTGTGAGTATGCTGGGCACCTGCATGCCCATGGTCTAAGTCTAGCTAAAGCTGAGGGTAGATCAGAGTATCAATACCCTTTTGGAGAAGCTGTCTCTCTCATTGAAAAAAATAAACTTATTTTAAAAATCCAGGTAGATTTTTACTAGATATGAGATATAAACATGTTCTGCACAGCTGTTACTGGTAGGTTATTAAACCCACAGAATACAGATGTTCAAACTCCAGTGAGTTTTAATAGAGTTCTTTACCTTCTGAAGAAAGATAACCACTCTCTAATTGGCCTGAAAATAAATTTAGCAATTTGGCATTTGTGTATGAGTGTGTGCCCTTATATATCCACATCTGTTTATTGTGTGTTCAACCACTAAGATCTGGGTTTTTGTTGTTGTTATTGTTGTTAAAGCAGCTAGCAAGCATTACCCTTACTATATTACCCAACGGGCATCTGGCATTTGATAAAACCAAGGTATCAGTGTTTCTCTGTACCTTTTTTATTGTTCCACATTGGTCCAGAGGAAAAGAAAACTCCACAACATTCGTTACTTTTGGTCTGCAAGTGGGATCATTTAATTGTAAATTATTCTCATTATAGTTTAATGACTCTATGTAAGATTTATTTATAATAATTCTCATCTTGTCAGAAGAGCAAGTTAAAGATGCTGTCAGGGAAGAAAAAAAAGTGATGGTCATGTTTATGCCAGCTAGAAACTTTGGATCTTAAAGAGCAACTTGTGCAGATGAATACATAAGAAGTCAAGACTCATTTTTCCCTAAACAGTAATCAGAACCTGACATAAACAAGGAGTTGACTGACTTTTACAGTGTTTATAGTGACTTTGTCTGAGGCTAGTATTTGTAAATATCGTATTTTTTTAATTGGGCTTTTTCAGAAGACATTAAGGGAGACGGTATTTATTTTCTGCAGAAATCTCTCTCGGGTTAATAAAATCATTAACTGCCTCTTGTATTAAGCCATGCTCAGAATTGATTCTCGAACTTCAGATTATATTACGTTCCCAAATATATGAGACAGTCTTGCAAACAGGGACAGTCACAGGTAGGCAAAGAACCAAGGAGCAGTTTCTCTGTATACAATCTTCAGTGAGCTCCAAATAGCTGAGGAACATAAAACATGACTTACTGGTGTTGACATTTTCTGCATAAATTGATGTGTAAGAAGCAGAAAAGCCCCGATAAGAATTGGCATAATCTGTAGATAACACGACAGTCAAAGCGTCTGATGAAGATTCGAAGGTGGGTGTCACACGGCCACAGACCTTTCCAATCAGGCCAGAGTTGGTGGAGGAGCCATCATAGACAGCGATGAAATCAAATCTGCAGTGGTCATCTATTTCCAGGCTAGAGAATGAGGGCCTCTGGTGAAAAGCTTTCCAAACCAGTGCAATTCTATTGTCTAACGTCCCAACAATGCCATTCTTAAGTGATTACAGATTACTCCCTTCAATGGTATCTCAGGTTTATGTGGACAGACCTGGGACTTGTTAGTCCCTTACAGGACTTCCAAATCTTCAAAAAATACCTTAGTGCAATACATTAGTACGGCTAAGTCTTTTATTTTCTATATTAATTCTTTGAAAAGCCCCCATACATGGGGGCTTTTGTGTGTATTACTTTTTCCTCCCCAGATATTCCAACTACCAGGTGAGTTCAATTACATTTCCACTAACAAAAGTGAACTGCAGTACTTACAAAATCTCTTTGAAGTTTAACTTTATCTTATAACCTTTCTCCACTTGTATGTGCCAAACACAATAAGCCAGCTCAGGATGTGGCTTTGGGTAATTCGGGCTGGTGAAGGATCCTTCCCAAGTGTCCAGGTAACCACCACAATTGGGAATGGCTGAAAAGATTGTGCAGGTGACCCAGAACGTTAATCAAAATAGAGACTTCTTTTAATTTCTGTGCTGTGCATCTAGCTTAACATGTATCCCCTGAATGTGATCCTCTCTATTTTCCCATGCATTGCATGTTGACATTTTCATTCTTTTGTGTCCCTGGACATTCTGCCAGTTGATGCAAGGCAGAGAGTGAATCTTCATACTGCTGCTAAATTAATCATATTAAGATTTTGCTAAGATCTGTTCCAGCTATAGAGAAGCTCCATTATCTGGAGTAAGCCATAAAAAATAAAATCACTCTCCAGACTAAGATTGCAGGCTCTTCCTCATTTAGCTTCCACCTGCCTTATCAGTCTTGTCACTCACTACCACGTGGCCTCCTGTTCTCTCCCATGTCTCCTCAGCTGTCAGCTCCAGAAGAGATGACTTCTGCACTGAATCCCACCACTCTCTACTCTCATCATGCTACTGTTTAAAGCTCACTCAGACGCAGCGTTCAGGAAGTCTCCTTTGGCCTTTCCCTTTCACAATAAATACATAAAACAAGCAGCTTGAACGCTTACCCCATGAATTGCAGGAAAACAATACTGAAAGCTCTTTTTGGAGGAACAGTTTAGATTGATTGAAGCATAGAGTATGTGCTAGAGGTAAGGCTTGAAAACGTAGCCTGGGTCTGGCTTGGGAAAACCCTGACTGCTCTACTCTGGGGGTTGACGGGCACTAAGAAATTGGTGGTTTAAAGGAGGGTGACCTAATCAGTTCTCGACCTCGGAAAGAAAACCAGAGTGGAGATTTCCTCATGAACCCATTCATGGAAGTTCTCCGCATCCTGCTTTAAGTCCCAGTGGAATGCAGAACCATCTAAGTGTAGCTGCTGACTGCCTGGCAGTCTTAAATTTCAGAAGTGAGGTCAGAGATTCTTAGCATGTGCTTCCAGACCATCTTCTGTGTCAGAATCACCTAGGAAACAAGTTAAACATGGAGGTTCTACAGCCCTAATAGACTTCATGGATCAGACTGGAGGGAGATGTGGTCCTGGAACTGGTATTGCAAAAGATCTCAGAGCTGGGTCAGCTGGTGGTGTGGTGGTTAAGGTGGCTGGATCCCACATGGCCGACTGTTAAGTTCTAGACCCAGCAGCTTAGAAAACATTCTAGGCACATGTGAGTGCATGCCCACAATCCTTTAAAAAGGAAGATGTGGAGAAGATATGGAGATAGTGAATATAGAGTAATCTGCTATGAGGGGTGTGCCTTCTTTCTCTTTCTCTCTCTCTCCTCTCCCCCCTTCCCATGTTCTCTCCAGAAAGCACAGGCACCCCCTGGCAAAATTTAAAAAAAAAAATCCCTCAGGCTTATTAGGCTGAACATGGTCTCTAAAACAGTACCTCTGTGTTAGACAGTATAACTGTCTAATTACACTCATCCCTCTTCCTCACTTGTGAGCTGGTTTGAAAGGCAAGTTAAAACCCAGTTCCATGGCCTAATGGTTAAGGGAGCCAGGTCTCACATGGATGACCATGAAGTTCAAATCATGGCCTTGGCTTGACAAAACATACCAGGTGTGTGTGTGTGTGTGTGTGTGTGTGTGTGTGTGTGTGTGGTGTGTGCCCAAAATCCCAACAGGATGGAGAAATGAAGAAGAAATTTTGGCATGACTATGCCCCATTGGAGGGTGCTTTCTCCTACTTTTTAGCTACCACATGTGCTCTTGGATGATTAAAATATAAAAGCAAAAAGCAAAATCATGAAATAAGGCAGGTCAGCAGGTGACATGGTGGTTAAGGCACTGGACTTCCATATGATCAATCACAGTTCAAGTCCTGGACCTGGCAGCTTGAAAAGCACACCAGGTGCATGAATGGAGGAGAAGGGATTGTGGTATGGCCATACTCCCTGGGGGGATGATTTCTTGCTTTCTCTCTCTCTCTATCTCTCTCTGGTGAGCACATGCACCTCTGGGGGGAAAATATCAAATAAAAAATAAATAAATGAGAAAGGCAAGTTCGTAGGTTTCACCTCAGCACCAATGAATTGCAATGTCTGTGGTGGGACCCAGAGTTTGTGACTTAACAACAACTCCAGATAATTTCTGTGCACACTCAGGTTAGGGAAACACTGCTTTCCCAAAAACAGGCCTCTGAAGAAATAGACCCAAGCTCAAGATTACAAGAACCCATGAGTAGAGTACAGAACGGTGTTTGTGGGAGATGCAGGTTAGGATATGTGAATGAGGACTTACAGGTGTCAGAAGAGAAATAATAGTAGAAGACAAAGACAGTTCTTTGAATTATTGCAGTGTCGGTAACTATTTGAAATGTCAACGAATTGGATATTGATTCAAAGACAGGAACGTAGTCATTTTCACTGCAGACTTTTCCTAGCAGAGGCCCACTGGTAGAGGTTCCATCAAAGACTTTAATGTTTTCACTGTCACAGCTTCCATCTAGATCAAGCCTGCGAACAGAACACACCTGTAACTGCAGAAGAGCCATCATCAAATGGGGTTTCTTCAGAGCACAGTCAACTGTACTCATTAGAAGGGAAATTTACAAAAGACACATACACATTTATTTAAACCACCAAACCTCCCTTCCCCTCTAGCCTGCATGTGCCGGCAGGGCTGTGAGTACGGAAGGGCAGACAAGCCCCCACTGCTATTCCGCCCAAAGTCATGGTCATCTTGGTACATAAAATCACTCTCCAGACTAAGATTGCAGGCTCTTCCTCATTTAGCTTCCACCTGCCTTATCAGTCTTGTCACTCACTACCACGTGGCCTCCTGTTCTCTCCCATGTCTCCTCAGCTGTCAGCTCCAGAAGAGATGACTTCTGCACTGAATCCCACCACTCTCTACTCTCATCATGCTACTGTTTAAAGCTCACTCAGACGCAGCGTTCAGGAAGTCTCCTTTGGCCTTTCCCTTTCACAATAAATACATAAAACAAGCAGCTTGAACGCTTACCCCATGAATTGCAGGAAAACAATACTGAAAGCTCTTTTTGGAGGAACAGTTTAGATTGATTGAAGCATAGAGTATGTGCTAGAGGTAAGGCTTGAAAACGTAGCCTGGGTCTGGCTTGGGAAAACCCTGACTGCTCTACTCTGGGGGTTGACGGGCACTAAGAAATTGGTGGTTTAAAGGAGGGTGACCTAATCAGTTCTCGACCTCGGAAAGAAAACCAGAGTGGAGATTTCCTCATGAACCCATTCATGGAAGTTCTCCGCATCCTGCTTTAAGTCCCAGTGGAATGCAGAACCATCTAAGTGTAGCTGCTGACTGCCTGGCAGTTTTAAATTTCAGAAGTGAGGTCAGAGATTCTTAGCATGTGCTTCCAGACCATCTTCTGTGTCAGAATCACCTAGGAAACATGTTAAACATGGAGGTTCTACAGCCCTAATAGACTTCATGGATCAGACTGGAGGGAGATGTGGTCCTGGAACTGGTATTGCAAAAGATCTCAGAGCTGGGTCAGCTGGTGGTGTGGTGGTTAAGGTGGCTGGATCCCACATGGCCGACTGTTAAGTTCTAGACCCAGCAGCTTAGAAAACATTCTAGGCACATGTGAGTGCATGCCCACAATCCTTTAAAAAGGAAGATGTGGAGAAGATATGGAGATAGTGAATATAGAGTAATCTGCTATGAGGGGTGTGCCTTCTTTCTCTTTCTCTCTCTCTCCTCTCCCCCCTTCCCATGTTCTCTCCAGAAAGCACAGGCACCCCCTGGCAAAATTTAAAAAAAAAAATCCCTCAGGCTTATTAGGCTGAACATGGTCTCTAAAACAGTACCTCTGTGTTAGACAGTATAACTGTCTAATTACACTCATCCCTCTTCCTCACTTGTGAGCTGGTTTGAAAGGCAAGTTAAAACCCAGTTCCATGGCCTAATGGTTAAGGGAGCCAGGTCTCACATGGATGACCATGAAGTTCAAATCATGGCCTTGGCTTGACAAAACATATGTGTGTGTTTGTGTGTGTGTGTGTGTGTGTGTGTGTGTGGTGTGTGCCCAAAATCCCAACAGGATGGAGAAATGAAGAAGAAATTTTGGCATGACTATGCCCCATTGGAGGGTGCTTTCTCCTACTTTTTAGCTACCACATGTGCTCTTGGGTGATTAAAATATAAAAGCAAAAAGCAAAATCATGAAATAAGGCAGGTCAGCAGGTGACATGGTGGTTAAGGCACTGGACTTCCATATGATCAATCACAGTTCAAGTCCTGGACCTGGCAGCTTGAAAAGCACACCAGGTGCATGAATGGAGGAGAAGGGATTGTGGTATGGCCATACTCCCTGGGGGGATGATTTCTTGCTTTCTCTCTCTCTCTATCTCTCTCTGGTGAGCACATGCACCTCTGGGGGGAAAATATCAAATAAAAAATAAATAAATGAGAAAGGCAAGTTCGTAGGTTTCACCTCAGCACCAATGAATTGCAATGTCTGTGGTGGGACCCAGAGTTTGTGACTTAACAACAACTCCAGATAATTTCTGTGCACACTCAGGTTAGGGAAACACTGCTTTCCCAAAAACAGGCCTCTGAAGAAATAGACCCAAGCTCAAGATTACAAGAACCCATGAGTAGAGTACAGAACGGTGTTTGTGGGAGATGCAGGTTAGGATATGTGAATGAGGACTTACAGGTGTCAGAAGAGAAATAATAGTAGAAGACAAAGACAGTTCTTTGAATTATTGCAGTGTCGGTAACTATTTGAAATGTCAACGAATTGGATATTGATTCAAAGACAGGAACGTAGTCATTTTCACTGCAGACTTTTCCTAGCAGAGGCCCACTGGTAGAGGTTCCATCAAAGACTTTAATGTTTTCACTGTCACAGCTTCCATCTAGATCAAGCCTGCGAACAGAACACACCTGTAACTGCAGAAGAGCCATCATCAAATGGGGTTTCTTCAGAGCACAGTCAACTGTACTCATTAGAAGGGAAATTTACAAAAGACACATACACATTTATTTAAACCACCCCAAGACCAGTCACCATCCCCACCATCTTTAGTATCTCAAACTCTCAACATTAATGGCCTCAAGAAGTCTTATGTCAAGTAAATAGTAAAGACGAGCCTAGAATCCAGGGCTTCTTTCTTTCTGCCTATTTCCATCCTTCCTGCTCTCCATCACACGTGGCTCTTGGATGTAAAACCTTATTTAGAATTCTTATTGACAATAGATCCCCATTGACGCTTGCCATCCAAGGCTGTTAGAGACTGAAACAACTCTTCTTGTCCATGGCCATTACTCCCATGGCATAGCAAATATGAGCATCCCCCTAGTTGCCCCTTCCTTCTGTCATATCACCAGTCTCACATTTGTAAGGATAGTCCCAAGCTCTGCACTGAAAAGGCAGCTCAGGATTTTAGTCTTCTGCCCACTCTGACAGCACTCTCCAAATATCCTGTTAGTTCCAAAATAATGTAGAGGAAATAATAAGGTAAAGAAATTTGAGTTCTCCTTCTGCCTTAGTCACTTATCTGCTATGTGCCTTTGGAAAGGTGATTGAACCTTTCTTCACACAGTTTTCTGTAAAACAGGAATATCATTTTACTCTTTTTACTCTACAGCATAATTTTTACTCTTGTGTAAAGTTACAATATCCTGACATGAAGCACCTACCACAAGTCTGGCATACAGGAAATGTCCAATGTTAAGTATTTATTCCCCCCTACCCTTGTTCTTCTCACACTTTGTTTTCTCTCCTCCTTTCTTCTTACACAGCAAGAATGGTATATGTTTAATAGCTTTACAATTACAGGAAATTTGAAATCCCCTCTCTGTTTTTTTTTTTTTTTTTTTTCCTTAAGAATCAAAAGAAAAAGTCAATTACAACTTCAGTCCTTTTTTTTTTTTGTTTCCTTAAGAGTCAAAAGAAAAAGTCAATTACAACTTCAGTGGGATAGGGCTATGATTCTCAAAGTGTGGTACCTGGACTAGCAGTATCAGCATTACCTGGAAATTTACTACCAGTACAGATAGTCAGGCCTCATCTCTCTCATCCAAATAAAATAATATAGACTCTGGAGGTCGGGCCCAGCACACCTTCCAGGTGCTTCCAATATATAATCAAACTGAAGAACCACAGAGATGGGTTAAGACTGGGAGCTTTGAAGTCAGGTTGCTTGTATTCAATTCCTCTCCCCTTTGATTATTATGTAACCTTGGACCTCTTAAATGATTTCTCTGGGCTTTCTTATCTACTGAATGGGGACATGCCCAAAAAATTGAGAGAGGGACCAGCAGATGGCATAATGATTACATCGCTGGACTCCAACATAGCCAACCACAGTTCAAGTCCTGGACCTGGCAACTAAATTCACGCCGGGTGCGTGCATGCGCATACTCAGGATCCCAGGAGAGTAGGGAAGAGATTGAGGCATGGTTATCCTCCTGGGGATGATTTCTCGCTTTCTGTCTCTCTGTCTCTCCCATGAGTGCACACACTCTATAGCAAAAATCTTTCTCAAAAACATTTAAAAAAGGTTATTGAGAGAATTAACTGGGCAGATCTTATAAAATACTGAAAGAATCTGTACAGGGCAGAGCTTCACCTCACACTTGGATAACCAGAGCACTTATTTAAGAATGTGTGTAAATGGGGACCAGCAGATGGTGTAATGGTTATGTCACTGGAGTCCCACGTAGTCAACCATGGTTCAAATCCTGGACCCAGCGACTTAAACCTACACCAGACGCATGTGCATGCAAGCCGCAGATCCTGAGAGGACAGTGGAGGAGGGGCTGTGGCATGGCCGTCCCCTCTAGGGTGTGATTTCTTGCTTTCTGTCTCTCTGGCATGTGCATGCATCCTATAGCAAAAATATCTCTCTAAAAAAAAAAAGTGTGTAAATGTATGCTTATTCAAAAATAAAAATTTTAACATAAAAAAATACTGATGCCCGGGTCCTACCACCAGAGATTGTGAACTAATTGTATGCGGTATAACCCAAGATTGAATTTTTGGAAATTCCTCTGCTGATTCTAATGCACAGTGAAGTTAGGAACCACAGAACCCCAAGTTTAGTATTTTGAAGCCGAGAATCTGGAACTATTGATAGACTGAGTACTCACTGTGTGACTCACACAAGTTCTCATCCTCCCTAGATTATATTACTAGCACTGACTTCTTAAGACCTGTGAGCCAGCAGTGGGCATGCAGTCATTATCAGGGATTATCGACCCTCATTATCATCATCTTCATCATCCTCATCATGGTGATTGTGGGTGTTATTACCACCCCTAGCAGCCACTGAATTCTTTCCAGCGACCACACAACTTACCCAGAGAGTTCTACCATCCTTATTATCAATCTGAAGCCTCTACTTACTGGATGTAGGAAAAGATGATTCTGATGCTTTTATTTTCTGGTCTATCTATTGTCCACGTGCAGTTCTCGTTGGGATTGAGTTTCAGGATGAGGGCTTTGTGGGTCTCTGCCAGATTGGCACCTCCCAGGCTGGCAGTGCAGCTTGATCTGCCTAGTATAGACCACAGTTGGCATTAAGGAGAGCTGGAAGCCCTTGCTCCCTACTCTACTGACTTGAGAATTTACCTCCCACAAGTAATATCCATTCAATCATATAGTCAATGGGAACTAGCTGATGGCATAATGGTTACATCGCTGGACTCCCACGTAGTGGACTGCAGTTTGAGTCCTAGACCTAATGACTTGAAACTCAGGCTGGACATGTATGCATGCATGTTCAAAACCCCAAGAGGAGAATGGAGAAGAGATTGCAGCATGGCCATCCCTTCTGGATAATGATTTCTCGCTTTCTGTCTCTCTGTCTCTCTCTGTCTCTCCAGCGAGCACACACACCCTATAGCAAAAAATCTCTGTTTCAAAAACAAACAAACAAACATATAGCCAATGATATTAGTCTCACTCCAAAGTAAGCCACCAGGAACTAATTCCTTTTTTTTTTTTTTTTTTTTTTTGGCTTTTTGGTTTTGTTTGCTGGGTT